CCCTATTAACATTTGTAATTTTTTATATCAAAATACCCTCAATAGCAACATATAAGAATTTTTTTTTTATACTTAAGTATGGTTTTTGCTATTCTCAAATATTTAAGAATATTCTTAAATTTGAGTAAAAAATACCTGAGAATTTTTGTTATGGCGGTGAAATTTACTGAGAATAAAAAAATTGAGAAATTTTCAGGCTGAGCAAAAAAAAATTACTCAAATAGTTTTATGGCGCCGGGGCCTGTTCTAGAGTTCAGATAATTCAAATTTTCAGAAATTAAAATCATACCAAAATATTTTACACAAATTTGTTTTTAGACGCTTAAATTAATATAGGTTACTAGCTGGTCTGGATTTTGATAGAAAATAGCCAAAGAAATACATAAAATATGTTATGTCATGGGTCACGCACGGATTGTTTTCCTGTATAAGGAAGCGTATGCGGCACATCAAAGATAAGATAAATTTTTAACCAGACATTTACCCATTGTACATTTGCATGTACCACAGAACTTGAATTCACTTGAATACATTGACCTCTTATCTTGTCGACGTTGAAGCCCGTCAGACAGTTGGCTAAATCCACACAAGAAACCATGATGAAATTTGAAATTTAAACAACTCTTAATTTTCACGGGAACGAATTTTTTGCAAATACGTTGTCCTAGCAATTAGTTCATCAATGAAGTAATTTAAAAAATAAGACGCCAAGGTCTTAACTAGCTCTAGGTTATAATGAAGAAAATGTTTACCGTCTTGAAGCAAGAAGGTCTCCTATTGTACACGAAGTTTTCTTCGTTGACATATTCTGCTGGTGGATAAAGTCTCGCACTGACTTAAATCAATGTAGGGTTTACAGAAAAATGATGATTTAATGGTTCGAGTTATGTATCATTTGAATAAAAATATTATCTATGTAGAACTTTTGCTGTCATTTCAACTTGAAATCAAGCTCAATTATGCATATTTTATTGTTTTATAGATTTTGTTCAGTTCCCCCTTCCCTTCCACTGAAATTAATTATTTTCATGCCTGACAAGGCAAATGTAACTCGCAACACATTCTATATATTCAACAATTTATTCCCGGGGTTGTCATATTTAAATGATTTGGAACAGCCCTGAAATAGAATAGATAATGAAGTGTCCATCTACCGAGTGCAGAAAGCATAAGATATGCAAATTGATAGATACAATATTTGGTTCCTTTTTATGATTTGGTATAGGTACGATATAAATTAAGGAGATGTGGTATGATTGCCAATGAGACAACTTTCCACAAGGGACCAAATGACGTAGATGTTATAGCAACTAAAAGTCATCGGCCTTCATTAATAAGCAAACCCCATACCGCAATAAGCAAGCCATAAAAGGCCCAGACATAACAAAATGTAAAGCATTCCAAACGAGAAAACAAGAGTGTGAATTATGCACAAAACAACAAATAAATAACAAATATGATTCATATAGCAACGAACGACAACTAATAAATTACAATCTCCTGACTTGGGTCAGGCACATAGATAAGGCGAGTCAAACATTGTTTTGTGCGTTATAAATTACACCACAGACTTTCTTTATTCAAAGAATAAGTTCGAAAGTACAAAATTATTACCAATTTGCCATGATAAAGAAGGTTTATAATGGAATGTCTTTCGGATTCAAATCAATTAAATTTGGTAAGCGATGCAAAATTCTACAAAAACATGTAAAATTTGCAGTTTTGTGACAAAATATGAATTTTTGAGCGACAGATAATAATTCTGATTGGGAAACAATACTTAAGAAAAGTGATAAAGACTGTTTAATAATCAATTTGCAGTAGGATTTTGCAACTTTTAAATATTTTTCTTGCAGGTTAAAAAAAATACAGGGTAAATTGGCCACATCTTTTTGCATCGAAGAACATCCGGCGAAAACAATTATTTCTTTTTATGAATCATAAAAGACATCGAGTGCTTTAGTAAAGATTGACATTTAAGACAAGGTGTGAAATGCATTGCCTCTTTTACAACTGTATATATATCGAAAATGTATAACCCTTAATCGACAAAGAGGAGGACGTTTATCCGGACTTTTATGCAAAAGTGAACTTTCGATTTATACACAATACTTTCAAGCAAGTACAATAAATCTTACATTCTTACAACTCCTGATCACTCCTCTGTTTTCATATTTAAATGAAATCAATGGATCTCGTAAAATTTACGACTCCAGGATATCTTTCACAGTTGAGAGATAAGTATTTGAAACATCGATACTAAATATATCATGCTGAAATTTGTCTTTCTTAGGAAGAGGATGCATTTTTAAAAAAATAAAATGTTTGACTAAATGTCTTGAAAAATGCATTGCTTGTTTTGAAATAGAATGGAAAAAGTGGTTTATTTTTACTAAAAATTATTTTTAATTGAATAAATTAATTTTCAAATTGTCCCAAAAGGACGTTCAAAAGACGGTTGTCTATCAATTTAAGAAGGCGGGGCAAACGGTCATTGGTATCCAATGAATGGTCCACTGTACAAAGTGTTGAAGAGCGGTGATGCTCAAACACATCGAATGACATTGTCATAAATGAATGACAGTGTTGTATAAACAACAAAAGAGGCTACTACATAATTACGATTGTGTAATCCTAATTCAAAATAAAGTTGAAATTGACAGGTAGCTTTGCAACCACTGTCGTGATGATGGGTGTAGATAACAAAGCTAGCTCCACCAAATAAATATAGATGTATATGCACTTGATTTATTTCACCAATCAGTTCCCTTATTTGACGATTTATAATAATAAGAATTCATAATCAGTTCGTAAAACGTAAAACCGGTTGCAATTTAAATAGTATTGGTTGTCTTCGGGAGAATATATGTTATATACTGGTTAGTAACATATGGTTAGTTTTTTGTCGACGATTTAAATGCGGGTTTTCATTTAAAAAAATTAAGGAGATGTGGTATGATTGCCAATGAGAAAACTATCCACCAAAGTTCAAATGCAAAGGATGTTAGCATTTATAGACAACCTTTTATTACGGCCTTCATCAATGAGAAAAAAACTATACCGTATAGTTGGCTGTGAAAAAATATGAAAAAATTCAGTCTAATTTATATCAAACCAATTTACAAAGACAAATATGACAGATATGAACCAATGACTTCCCCTGAACAACTTGACTCTTGACTTGAGACAGGCACACATAGAGTGTGGCGTTGTTCAACATTATTTGAAGGCGCCAACCATGGAATTTCTCTAACCTGGGACACTGGTGTGACAGCATAAAAACAAGAACAAACTATGCAAAACTATAATGTTTATTTTAGATTTATTTGAAGTCAATTTCTTGTGGTATTTATTAAGTGTAATTGGAGAATTCTTGTTTATTGAAAGTAGTAATATTATCTTGGTAACAAGGAAAGTAGACATATCTTATTTCAAGACTAAACAACACAGACAGAAGACTACTGTTATTGTAATTTAATTAGTTCCTTTATTCTATGATTACCTATTTATCTAGGAGCACAAATTATAGAAAAGAAACTAGCTTGACTCCTGATCTCCAAAAGATCTTTCGTCTATTTAGATGACAACAATAATTAAACTGATTTCAAACTATAACATACAAAACGTGGGAACATTAAAGGCGGACAGACGTTTTATACATTCTCTTTTCGTGGAACAAGCAAAGACTTAGAAAACCAGAGATTATGAAAAGTGTAATGAGAAAAAATTACTATGAACGTAATATGTTAGTCTTATATGACTAAAAGATCCTCATATCAATTGCTGTAACAGTTACAATTTAGCTCTTACGTTCATTCTCATAATTCGTAACCCATTTGTAAACACTTTGTCGATTTGGCTGTGTTTATATTGAAATGTTAAACGAAATGTTTGAAAAATATGACGACATACGAATTAAATCTCTCGAGCTGAAGGTTATGCCTTTACATATACATGGATGCTCTTAATTCTGATAATATCGCATTTGAGAGGAGTTCTGAGGTATGTGTTGTTTTTTTCTTTCTATTCTATTATAAGGTTTACGTATTTCGGCAAGTCAACATGGCAACCCACACCTTAGTTACGGCGGTCAACTTTGAATTTGACGGTTGAATATTACGCAACAAAACATATGTTTGGTTTTAGATAAATAAGGATTCAATACGTTATTTCTAGAGGTTATTCAAGGAATAATTTATGCAAGCCATAGATATTTGACAATTCTAGCTTCATCTAACAGAAAGGTGAAATAAAAGACATACTGCACACTTTTCTTTGCTTCAGATTTTTTAATTACCGTATTTGTCATATTAGAATCGAAATAATTCATGCAAGCCATAGATTTGTTATCATTATTACATGGCTTTGGCTGCTATAGTCGAATGTTATCTCGAGCATAATCAAACAAAGAATATATATTGTTTCGTTAATTGTTTCTTAAAAAAATCCTTGTATTAATAAAAAATGGTGTTTGTAAAAATAAGTGCCCTAAAAGTCTGTCTTTATCCGCTTCTAAGTTAAAAAGGAAAGGGTGCAAACATGAATGAATAGCAAAATCGTGATTTCATGATATACGAAGAAAAAACAATTGAAATCACATCCAAACATACTTGATAAAACGACATCAACTAGATTGGTTTTAGAAATAAACAACATATTAAGATTTTAGCAATCAATGTGATCTTCCAGTACAAAAATTAGCCATTTCAGAATTTTGTTTCGATAATACAAGAATAGCGCTAAGAATATAAATTAAAATGAAATTAATAAGACATAAATTTTCAACAAATAACATTTTGTTCATTGTTAATTATTGAATTCAAACATTGAACTGTTAAAAATACACATACATACGTGTTTATTGAAGAGTGAAATTTGATTTACTTTGTTTTACTGTCATTTAAATTGTTTCAAAGTACTATGTGATTTAAGTTATTGAATTTTGATTCATAATTACTTATTATTAATGTGCATATTTTATTTATGAGACACGTCAAATGTCCTGTCTTGACAACAACAAAAACAAAACACTAAACAAAAGCTAATGTAAAAGGAAATGTGGAGGAACATGTCTAAATGCAACAACAGGTATCTTATGTATTTTTTGTTTTTATAATTTTTATGATACTCGGTAAATCATGTAAAACGAAAAAATTAACACTTTTTGCTTTTAAATTATGGAAACGATGGGAATTATTCCGTTTGATTCAATCATCACCGACGAGATTAACGTCAACGACGCATGCGTATGCCGTACTTGGTGTTTAATAATGCTTCTATTCAGATGAGTATATGATGAACATTACTTTTACAAATTGTGACTTGGATGGAGAGTTGTCTCATTAGCACTCATACCACATCTTCTTGTATCTATATATAATTCTTTTGTGTATATTATATCATTTTTCATTCAAATTGTCCTTTGTATACTAATTATTTTCGTTCGACATGCACGGGTTATTCATAGGTAAAAAAAAATCTATATCAATATCATATAATTATGAAACTAATGAAATAAACATTATCTAAAATAAAGTCATTCTGTGCTTGACTGATTGTACTTATTAAAAGAGGTTTAAAGTAGATTTGGTCAGAGTATTCATATCGTTCATTGATCTTTGGTATCTGTCTTTTGGTTCTTTCGTTTAACCTCAATGTAAACAATGATGTGTGTTTGTTTATTCTACATTGGCTAGAGGTATAGGAGAGGGTTGAGATATCACTAAACATGTTTAGTGAGATAAATGGTTGGTACCTATTAAAACGTTTAAACCCGCTCCATAAATTAGTTATATACATTTCATTTATAGACTTAAACTATTGTTGTCAAAGATCAGCTAAAATTATAAGTTTCATTCCACTGAAATATTGGATCAACAAAGTCTTTGCAAAAGTATCATTTTCAGTATTAAATATAAACCTTAGTTTTGTGAATGTTATGAGCACAAACACATGAAACACTCTTAAACATTCTGTAACAAAATATAAAAAAATATATACTTTTTTGTAGATATGTAAATGATATGAAAGAGGAAGAAAACATGTGATCAACTCATTGTATACATTTTGTCATCAAAGTTATGTAGAGTTACATCTGTACTTCATACTATGGCAACGCAAATCTTCTCATCGACTGTAAGTACGTCATCAACAATAGCCAACTATGCACGATTAGGACTAGCTTCTCAAAATGAGTTACCAGACATGCTTCGAGAACTCTTATTGATAAAAGAACCGCCACATCTTTTGGAAGCTCACCTTCAAAACAACAGCTTCTTATCAAGAAACTTAAAAGCATATGAATGGAATATTATCAGAACTGTTCAAGAGAACTCGTATCATGATTTTGATGAGGCGCTTACGTACAAGATAATAAGAAATCTAAATTTAGTGCCAAGTCCAAGCCAAGGCTGGGATAATGACATGCAACCATCTGCATTTGAGATAACAATAGGCGATGACATTGAACGAATAAGGCGAATTAGGAATGAGATAGTTCACAGAGGAAACACAAATGTTCAAGACTCTGAATTAGCTAAGTATTTCTCTACATTTAAGAGTATAGCCAGCAGGCTTGAGTCATACCTTTCGAAGCCAAACAGAGAATTTGTTTCAAAAATAGAGATAGCTGAAACTTGTTGTATAGACAAAGATTCAGAACAACGATACCTCAGACTATTGAACGATTTAGCTGAACATAAGGCACAACTAACCATGAGCTTTGCTGATGTTTACCAGGACCTAGGTAGTCTACGTTCAAAAAGTAGGTTGCCTTTTGAATGATTCATATAGTCATATAAATTGAGGTTGGAAAACAATTAAATACTTTTATTCGAAAATTTATTTCCCGAAACTTTAATATTTCGTTCTCATGGATCATTGACTATTCGCGTTGCTTACGTTTTTTTCCATATAAAAAGAACATATTTGTGATATTTGCTTCCATTATACTCTCAGACGACTTTTACATGTATCTATTTTATGTCTTTTAATTGAGTTAAGCCATTTCAATTGACATTTCATAGTGTGTTTTTCTATGTTGTGATGTTACACTATTGTTTCAAGTAAGGGTGAAGGTTGGTACCTATTAAAACGTTTAAAGCCGCTGCATTTGTTTGCACTTGTCCTAAGTCAGGAATCTGATGTTCAGTAGTTGTCGTTTGTTGATGTGGTTCATAAGTGTTTCTCGTTCCTCGTTTTTTATATAGATTAGACCGTTGTTTTTCCCGTTTGAATGGTTTTACACTAGTCATTTTTGGGGCCCTCTATAGCTTGCTGTTCGGTGTGAACCAAGGCTCTGTGTTGAAGAACGCACTTTGACCTATAATGGTTTTTCTTTTACAAATTGTGACTTTGATGGATAGTTGTTTCATTGGCACTCATACCACATCTTCTTATTATTTATTTTGATAACAAACGTATGTTTTGTGCATGTGTATGTGTATGGAAGTCTTTTGAATAGTTATTTTATGAAGCAAAACACTCAATGACAGGTTACAAGGATATTCGTAAGCCTATTGTGTCTTAAATTCCAAGTATTGGCTTCAGTTTTGCTGCTAGCAGCTATCGCATGGACAATACACTTGCCAATACCCTCATAACTAGTGTATAAGTGTTCTCTTTTGCGCAACAACCTGCACAAAAGGTTAAAACATCTAAACCCCGTACTACCTTAAGCTTTATTCTGTTGGATGGATTAATTAAATACAAAGTTAATATTTATGTATGGTGGCGCTGCTGGAATGTTGCTACATAGAAATGGAAAGTTTACAATAGGGAAGCTAAAATCATCTCTTTTGTCGAAAAGGGGTGTTTTTAACCGACCCTCATTATCAATTTCTCTAGATGTAAGTCAGGATATGAGGCAGACGTTTCTGTATCTGTTGTATCCTTTATATCAAGTTGGATGGGATAGACATGATAGATGCATTCAGGATACATTACATAGTCATCAAATTTGGATTATTTAGGGTTATGACTTCATCTATATAGCGGAAAGTGAAAATTGAAGGATACTACTAACTTCTTTTCTTTCTTCATAAAGACTTTCTTGCAGGACGTCAGCCACATATTATTACATATGAAGGTATATTAAACATCTACCGTTGTCTATACATTTTGATAGAAATATTGTATATTTTTCATTATAGTGAAAGGGAATGTTTCAACACTTCAAAAGAAAATAGACAGCGTGATAAAAGAACAAGACGAGGTGATTCCGAGGAATATTAGAGGTAAACATTTTTTCATAGTCGATTGAATTGCAAGAGAATGTATTCGCATTTATTTATCAGTTTTACTTTACATACAAGGTATAATGAAAACTTCGTGATACAATTAGTAAATTGAAGTCAAAACACCAAGTTTGATTTTATTTGAATATAATGGCAATAATACAAGTTGAAACTAAAATTTCATGCGACAAACATTTTTACGCTTTACATGAAAATTCAATAGAGCTTACACTCACTGGTTTGTCCACATTTCCGCTGTAATAAAACAGTTAACTAGTGATATATTTTAATTTGATATAGATTCTTCTTAAATATTAAGTAATGTTATCAAAAATTGCCCCTTACTTAAAAATCCAAAGCGATATTGCATAATTGATGTTTTGCAAATGATGTTGTGAATTCTATAATTTTTAAGATAAATTTTAGTGTATTTAAGATAAAATACTGAAAATTCACAATAAAGTCTTAGGATTAAGCTAAAATTAAATTCCACGTGCGATTCAAATGGATTTAAATTCACGTGAAATTCATGTGAGAATAATTGCCTGTATAGATGTTAAAAAACCAATTTAACAGTTAACACCGTTTACACACATACATATATATGTAAATGTTTCAGCATTTCAACAAGCCGTCATAGTTATTCAAGTTTTCGATATTGAGAATGAAATTGCAGAAAATGTAATTTTAACCATTCATGTAACAATATGAAATAATTAGCAGTTACTGTTGTAAACATGTGATTACTTGCATAAAACAATAAATCGTTTTGACAATGTTATTTGTTAGCTATATAAGTTTAACAACGAAATCATGATTGAAGTATCTGATATCAATTGTGAGATGGATATTCCATAGCAGTCAATAAATTCGTGATGGCGTCTTTAAATTTACAAAGTGATAATTTCAACTTCACCTTATTGAACCCATGGCATATGTACGTATATTGAGTAATGATGAATCCTTTTATAACTATTAGCCATTTATTCTACAGATCAAATTGAAAATGATTTACAAAAATGGAAGCACGATGATGAGAAGTTTGTACCTACAAGAGCTGTTCAATTTGTACTAAATTGTCGGAAAAAAGAAAACTGTGTAACTGTTGTTGGAAGCCCGGGGATAGGCAAAACGGCTATCACAAGACACGTTGCGTTAAAGATGGAAGCCTTATGATATACTGTCATTCATATAACAGTCCCAACAGATATAAGAGACTTTTACCAGCCTGGAAAACTAACAATTTTTGTTGTTGATGACATTTGTGGTAATTTTACAGCTTATCAAAAGATGATTGACAGCTGGAAACAGTTACTTGGTGTTGTTGAAAGCATATTATCAGATAATTGTAAATTGGTTGTGTCTTGTAGATCAGTGGTTTATAAAGATAAGAAATTTAGTGTTTTAGTCCCATTTAAATCTTGCAAATCTTGTAATATGAGTTCAACTGAATTACAGTTATCAAAGTCTGAACGAATGAAAATAGCCTCAGTTCACTTGGGCAAACATGGGTATGAAATAGCTCAGAAGTCTCCTTATGACTTCTTTCCTCTTTTGTGCTTTCTTTGTAGTAGACAAGAAAACGTCGATATCAATAAATTCTTTAGTAAACCCTTTTCAGTATTTGAGAACGAGCTTGACAGCCTTTATTGTCAAGGAGAAGATGGCAAGTGTAAGATATGTGCTTTATCACTTTGTGTTATTTATAAGAATGAATTAGAGGAGAAATACCTTACAACCAATGATCCCACTGTCCGTGTTATCATAGATAATGTCTGCGAAGCGTGTGGGTTGAACATAGGAACTTCCAGAGTCAAAATATCAAAGAAGAATTGGATACACTTGTAGATACGTATCTAAAGAAAGAAAGAAATATGTACCAAACAGTCCATGATAAGTTTTTTGATTTTCTGGTTTATTACTGCAGTACCAAAATGTTCAGTTGTCTTGCTGAACACGCAGTTAGTAGTTTGATCCAAAAACGGTTTCTCCGGAACAAAATACTTGATGAGAAGGATAGAGATATAGACGAGTTTATCATTATATTTCCAGACGATAAATTAGCATTGTATTTGAACAGGCTTGTCAAAGACTGGTCAAAAGAGAAATTAAGAAAAGTGTTTGTTGAAAATAATAATATGAAGAGTGAAAAATTTAGGGACGCATTACTAACTGATTTAGCACATCGTGATTCAGTAGAACAGGAAAAACTTGCCAACATGACACAGACGTATAACGGGACACTTTTAAGTTGCTTAGAAGTCTGTTGTCGCCAAGAATATACCAATTTTCTACCGTGGATTTTAAAACAAGGTGTTGATAAAGCTCAAAGTAATAGTCATTTGACACCAGTTAGTTTAGCGTATGGTAAATAATAAAGAAATGATAGATAAACTATTAAGTTTTGGGGAAGATATCAACAAATTAGGAAGCACAGATATGACACCAATACATTCCTTACGGTGTTACAATGATATCAATGTAGGTGTAGTAAATTTATTAATGAAACATCGAGCTTGCATCAACAATCAAATGTTTAATGGTTCAACTCCATTACTCTTAGCTATATCTACTAATCAAAATATACAGGTATTGAAGATACTTCTTTACAGTTCAGCGAATTGTAACATTGGTCTCTATAACAGTGAGACAATAAGAAATATGATGGAAACGGTGGAGGTTTGGACAATGGAAGAAGAGATGACATTTTGGTTGACTTGGTTTACAGATAACTGCTCACCTTTTGTTGATGAATATGTTAAACAAGAACCAGACAAAGTACTTGAGATCATGGGGGGAGCAACACTGTTGCATATGGCTTGTTTTAAAAATGACATTCAAATCATTGAACTCTTATTGGACAAAAATGCCGTCATCAACATAGGTAAAGAAGATGGCTCGACACCTCTATTGTTAGCTTGTCAGTTTGGTTTCACTGATGTCGCAACAATACTTCTTGAACACGACGCCGACCGAGAAATTGGAAGAGATGATGGAAAAAACGCAATAGACATGGCAAAACAAAATAATCATTTTGAGATTTGGTTTCATTGTTAGGAAATCTTAGGTGGAAAATGAATATTGAACTTTATTAATTTCATGTCTCCTAAGTGCTGTCCTAGATTTATAAAAATGTACCTTTATCAGGAACGCTCAATCACAAACATTCGAAAGTCACGGATGTATAAAGACGTGAATAGAATTATAAACATTAAGGACGGGAAAAATATATGGAACAAGATTAGAAGGTTCAATAGGCAGAAAAGGAATAAAAAGAATGAAATAACTGCTTCGTATTAATAAACATCAGCTGTAACTATTCACTTATAATATAAGGGACAGGTGCTTTCTTTCAGGGACACCCAACTTAAACCTCGGGGGTTTGAAGGTATATTGCTTATTCGTAAGTTACAATTTGTTTTCTTTATAGTTTTATTTTCGGTTATGTGTCTGTTCATTGTTTTTCGTTTTAGTAATGGTGTTGTCTGTTTGTCTTCGGTGTAAGTTTTTTTTAATTGTTCCCCTGATATGCTGATATTCGTTTCCTTTTTAACTTAGCTGTATGATTCTGTGTAATAAAAACTCATTTGACAAGATAGAACAATAAGATTGGATGGCATTTTTTTAGCTGCTTTTTATGTCAAAATCAAGAGGTGAATTAAGGAACAGCTATTCCTTGCATAATTCAAACCTAAACTCAATGTCGCAATACGTATACTGTATTATTAAATATGTTTGTACTAAATGGGTATGTTGATAATCAAAATCAGTCTGACATCAGATTGTTGTTGTTCCATTTCAATTACAATAGTATGCTGTTTGTATTTTAGTGTCATTATATGCAATTTAGAATGAAACCATAATGTAAAAGTGATGTAATCTCCAAGATTTGTTTTTCTGTTCTTCTAAAAAAAAATGCAAACCATTCTTATATTGTACTGTAACACCATTGTTCCAGGTTACGGGGGGAGGGGGGGAGGAGTTGGCGCTAGCAGGCATGTTAAACCCCGCCACACTCTGTATGTGCCTGGCCTGTCGTTTAGTGGTTGTCGCTTGTATATTATGTTTGTTTTTCGTTCATTGTTTTGTGCTTGAATCAGGTCGTTACTTTTGTCGTTTGATTTGTTTTACATTTGTCATGTCGGTAACTTTACTAGCTGACTATGTGGTATGAGTTTTGTTCATTTTTGAAGTCCAACGGTGACCTCTACTTGTAGTTGTTAACTTCTATGTTGCTTAGTCTCTGGTGGATAGTTGTCTAGTAGCTATAGGTAATCACACTATATCTTCTGATATTTCAATAAAGCAGTGTGTAAAATATTACTACAAGTAATCATTTAGCCGTTAAATACAAGAACCTAAGTAAAACAAAACAATATGTGTAGAAGAGACGATGGTAATAGGCTTAGATGGCTTCAAAATTTAAAAAAATTTAAAACGATTTATTTTGGAGATTGTTATTTATAATTTATTGGAACATGAGTCATAGAGTTAAAACGTGTTGTTTGCATTAAAAAAATCATTTTGAAGACGCCGAAATGGTGAGTGCTAATGACTTCGAATATAAAAAATGTGCAAAAAGAAACCACAACAGTACGACGTTCTTTTTTATGTATACTTTGTCGCTAAGTTATCAAACATCACCTACTAATATTTTTGATGCAAGCTTAATAGATAATGTAATTTAAGTGTTTGTTCATACCCAAGCAATGTATTGAAAGGCTGAGATGTTAACATGACATTGTGATTATTTTAACAATGTTAAATTGTACATTCGTCTGTCTTAATTATTTTCATCTTTCATTTATGAATGAATTAATAACGTCTTGTCTCAATCATTTTTATGTACTCATAATATTGTATAGTTATACAGATTCGAATCTCGAGATTATCGTATTATCTTGCAAGGTGAAACTTTGCGTTACTCGTTCCTGATACTTACTACGATATTGGAACAAATATCCGGTACGATATTGACACATTTTTCTGGCTCGAAAAGTAGAGGTGAAATGTAACTTATGGAGTAAGAAACTAAAACACTGAAAACAAACGTATAATGCCATGACAAAAAACGAAAAACGACCAACGGCAAACAACAGTACACAAAATACAACATATAAATCTGAGAAAAAAACCCAACACAAAACCGTGGTGAAAGAAATGCGAATACATTAATCGTATTAGTCCACCGTGTAATGCCAGTTTTTTATCATTAGAGCTGCTGAATTGAGAAATCATTTAGGGTGAAGTTATAAAAATAGCTCACTCACAGTATGGGTAGGCTCGATGTTGAAGGCATAAGTTACATCTTTAAACCCCTATTCTTTATTGAAACTTTTTTTCATTGGCGATCATTCCATTTTTGGTTATATTTTGAAGAATTTGTAACAAACATGTCATAATTCCTGATATTAATTGGACAGTCTTTATGACGATCGTATAAATGCAAAGTCAAAAATTATAATATGAATTGATTATTGTAAGTCTTGAAAGGTAGACTTTCAAAATCGTTACCATCGCTATTGCAATTGCTATGTTGAAGGATGTAATATTTTTCCTTCATGGTACTTTACTGTTTATGTTTCCATAAAACACAAATCAATATTCACCATATGGAAATATGAGTATTTCAACAAAAAACTACTGCTTATTGTAGACTTGAAAAGTTTTGGATATCCTTGCTTCTTTTGTCAGACTTTTTTAACTGAAAATCGATACAAACTATGCACTCATATTTTAAACTTTGAAAAAAACTGGTATTAATGCCGAAACAAATAAATAAATAAATTAACATAAGCAACAAAAGCGCTGTTCCTTTGCTTTTTGTGTGTTTTTTCCTGTGCATGTACTGATTTTGTGTCATGGTTAGATACCCCTTATCCTTTGTTTTTTCTATTATAGTAAAGGAATGTTTTCATGATGAAGCAAAGAAATTGTGGACTTTGTCTTCATTGTCTTTTCCACTATCAGTATGCAAATCAGTCTGTTTTTTATCAATTGTACACAAATTTCTTACACACAAGTATGCATGCTTATTATTGTTGTTATTGGTTTTGGTAGGCGGCTTACTTATGTAGTAATTGCGCCTTAAATTCATATAACATAAATATTATGTATATATACTTTCATTCCTGAATTCATTTTTAGTATTACGTTTTGGCGAGATTTATATAAAACTTTGACAATATGGTTGACTGTGTTACAATAAAGTATTTATATGTAGAGAGAGAAAAAAAAAACATATAACAGAAGGTACATGTAATAGGAAAATGAGAGAGAAAAAAAAGCAAATTATACTTCCTAATGAAATGCACATTATTAATTGATAGGTATCATAAAATTGTTTAGAAATTTCATCTAGTTGTTCACCTTTGTGTCGTCTGTGATATGCTTATAAAAAAAAGTATATTTAGAAACATAAAACAAGACATGTGCTAGTTAAATGCTACCAATGTAAGGACGTCTCCCACGATTGATGTAGCAAATAAAGAATCCTTAAGTAAGGATTGATTGTAGTTTTTCCTTTTCCATAACGGCAAGTTGCGTTAATTTTTCCAAATAAATTTCCAAAGACATACTGGTATTTAGTGATTCCTCCTTCCCTGACGAGAAAAAAAACACTTCTGTCATTGAATGAGAAATCACCCCTACCTACACCCTTAATCGCCTATTTAGATATATATATATATATATATGTAATATATAAATGGAGTAAAAATAGAAAAATATGAAAAAAATAATACCAGTATATTATTAAAACAATGCAATTGTTTGAATTTGTTGTAAGTACAGAGAATGTCAGCGAAACAGAAGTGCTGGGATGTGCATATATATATACAATAATCTGTGTGTGTTTGTCTAACTGACATATGCATCCTCTAGTACACATTTTAGTTTTTTTTCATTTTGTTGTCATAGAAAAGGATTTAGCACTTGTTTCTATTCTAAAAAATATATGAGCTTAATGATTGTGTTTGTTTGTTTTTCTTATTTTCTAATAATATGACTATAATTGTCAGTTTGTGAAGATCTGAAAAGACAAATTGTATTTTCCTTTGTTCTTGCTTTTCCTTTAATCTTTTAACATTAAGATAAATGTTAGTGGCACTTTCATAAAAAAAAAGAAGCCTGTAGCAAATGTGTCTATTGTTAAATATATGAGCACAGTGTGTTGTGTTTGTTGTTTTTATTTCTTAATTTCTAATTGTCCATTATAGAGAATCTTAAGGTGATGTTGTATTTTCCCTTAATATATAATGTTAACTTTTCTAGTGTACTAATCTTCAATAGATCAGAGTGTTTAAATTGAATGTTGATACTTGTTAAAATTAATTGCGTGCATTTCATGGTCAATTAGTACTGGTGTTTGAAAGGTGATTGATTTACTGATGTATGACACAGGTAGAAAAAAGTCTGTTTGATTACGCTCAATGGACTGACACAAAGGTGAAGTGTGCATTGCACTTGTGACTTACTTATCATTATTCTATGGATATTAAAAAAGGAAATGATTTTATATTCGGGTGAGTTTTTCTTTTATTTTTAATCTTGCTGGTTGTATAACTTGATGAAATAATTTAACTTGAGGGACCATCTGAGAAATAGTTCATATACACTGGTTCCAAATACATAATTATTTATTTTATAATATCTAAACTAAAACTAAATGACACTTATAGTTGAGAGTCTTCCTATTTTCTTATAAGTATATTAGTTTCCCGTAGATAGTTATGCACGGGACTAAAAGTGTGTGTGTATCCGGATAGAAGGTGTTTCAATGAGAGATCTATGACTCCATTTTTTTTTAAGCGTATCAAACATCTGTTTTCGTTGCACATCATATTTTGAGCAGACTAATAGAAAGTGTACAACATCGTCTGTGACTTTGCAGTTTTCACAAATTTCACTCGGGCTTTTCCCTATTTTGTGAAGATATTTATTGACATTTATAGAGCCAGATCTTAATCTGAATATTATTCGTTCATTTTCTCTATTCATTTGTGGAATAGTAATCTTAAAAGATACATTATTTTGGAAGGAGTGTAGTAATCTTCCCTTTGGGTTGTCTGACCACTGCTTTTGCCAAATTTGTTTTAAAATGTTTTTTGTTAAACATTTGATGTCTTCCTTATATAGGGGAATATGACAATCTATTGTACCTTTATTAAGAGCCACTTTGGCAGTCTGGTCTGCAATTTCATTTCCTAAAATTCCGACGTGGCTTGGGATCCACTCAAATATTATGTTGCTACCTAGTTTGACTAACTGGTTGTATAAAAATATAATATCGTACAATAAATAATTTTTTACCTTAAATAAATTACTCTTTAAGGCTTGTAGAGCTGATAAAGAGTCGACAAACACAATAACATTATTTGGTTTGAATTCTTCTAACCATATAAGAGACAGAAATATTGCTATAAGCTCACAAGTGAAAATTGACATATTCTTAGGCAGTTTGAAACCTTTTTTTATTCCCATTTCAGGTATTGCAAATGCACATGAGGTTTTATTAGAATTTGGATCTTTAGATCCGTCCGTATATATTTTTAAAAACTGGCGATACTGCGTATCAATCATTAAGTTACTTTCACTTCGAATTAAGTGTGGATTGTCCTTTTTCGAGATGAGATTTGTGAGTTGTGTACATACACGGGGTTTAGTCAAATGCCAAGGGGGTGTTGGGAATTGTTTGTATTTATATATTTGGTTAATATCTATATCATGTTGATTAATCATATC